CAAAATTTTCATGTGGTATTTAGGAAATGTATCAAATTAACATTGTAGTACCTCTTGGAAGCTGTCCTCCATATCATCAGTTTTATTCTCTGTTGGGGCATCAACATTTGAAACAGTGGTATCACCAGTGACCTTATAGTATTATGTATGACATCCCATCACTTACAAAACTGTACAGCTGATATGATTCTCTTATGCGCAAAAAACCTGTACCTAATTCATGAATCTCATTCACCTTACCACAGAAAAATGTAATTTGCCTGCTGGTTTGGTGCCACTTGTGTCCCATCTGACCACTTTTACTCACACTAAATATAACATATTTTGATTTTTTCCCAACTGTCAATGAGTGAACATGCCCTATACAGAAACAGCATAATGAGGAGCTTCATAACTTGTACTCTTTGCCAAATATAATTAGGTTAATGAAGACAAGTAGGATGATATGGGCAGAGCATGAAGCATGAATGGAGGAGGAGAGGAATGCATATAGGATATTGGTGGGAAAGGCAGAAGGAAAGGACCACTAGGAAGACAAAGACATACATGGGTGGATAATATTAAAATAGATCTTGTAGAGATAGGATGGAGTGACATGGACTCGATCAGGTGTCAGATAAGGACCAGTGGAGGGCTCCTGTGATTTCTGTTATGTATGTGCATAATATAAACTCTGTCATAAATGCAACACTTTATTGTAGTTTTTGTCCCCCTTCTTTCACACTACATGTTTTGGCCGCAACCGGCCATCATCACGTGTATTTTACTTCACCTGAGGATGGCCGGTTGCTGCCGAAACATGTAGTGTGAAAGAAGGGGGACAAGAACTACAATAAAGTGTTGCATTTATGATGGAGTTTATAATATACATATAGAAGTGTGGAATGTAACAGGATGCTTAAATATAATATCTATAATGTACCATCGGTTTCTGTGAAATGTTGGGAGGTTCTTGAACAGCTGCACAACTGGTAGGTTCTCAAGATGGGCTCAGCTCCGTGGAGTTAGTATGGTCAAATCAGGAATACATTGGGGTCAGATGATTTGACCCCCACAATTGATCCATATGTCTGAATAATGGATGTTAACCAATTATGTACTAGGCATGGAAAGTATAGAGGGCTGCATTCAGTGTACTGGATTCCACCAAGGCAATTTTCTGTCATGTATTTCATTATTTTAGCTGTGGGCTGCATTGTACTCAGGGGGATTCTCTGTGTTTAAATGAAGTATTTAATATGTGGTTGTATCCCTTCACAGTTTTGCAGGCCAGTAAGTCACATCTAATATGGATACTTCTGGAAAGTGTAGAATTTCTTTTTTGTGGTTGTACAGGAACATGTTATAGCTAACTTCAGGTTTAGAAGGGTGCAAATCTGTTGTCACCTTTAGCCTTATGGGAACCTAATAGTGCACAGAGCTGGACGTTTCACTGACCTGCATAAATTTGTTGTTAGGTTATAGGAGGTGACACTATTATAGAGTCCTAGACCCCCCCCCCCATGTATGGGTCCAATGAGGTAATTGCCCATGATTCTGGCTCGGATGTTGACACTTTTGCTGTGAAGTGTTGGGTAATAATATGATTCTTCAGTGACCACTCAAGTAGGTTGTAGAGATCATTCACACAACCTGTAAATGTTGTCTAATCAGTCTATGAGTATAGTACACAAGGTTTGATTCCTCTATAATTCTGTGTAGAAACCATTGACAGCTGGAGATAGGGTTTATTGTCCACCAGCTCTGGTGGCCTTCGTACTAGTTGTACATGAGAAAGATTCAACTGCTTGTTGTTCAGTGCACCTTAAGATAGGCTTGTGTTACACTCTTTGTGGCTTGAGTTGTGTTTGCATGCTTAGTGTGTACAGCATGTAGCACTTCCCTTCATTCTGCACATTGCCTGTGCCATGGCAGATATATTCTGGATTCATTGTGTGTCAACTTCCGTTAGATTGGCATACCATTGCAAACATGTCTGGTTGTTTCCAGTCTTAATACTCAATCTGTTCATGATATGCATATTGGCATTCTCTGCATTAGGAAAATCTGGCATCGTGTTTCACTGTTATCACATGTGCCAAACTAATGTGAGTAATAAGTGAATGCATGATGAGCTAGCTGTGTTTTGTGGCATTATGATGCTGCACGAGATGAATATGTTGTTACATATTAGCAACTAGACATGGGGTTTGGTTTTATAATTGCATTTGTTGATTTTTATAACTTGAAACTGTAAGTATGTATGTTATTTACATAACCAGTATGGACCTGGTATGTATCCGAAGATCAGGAAATTTGAACGTGCTGGTGTCTGGAGATATGGATAAGCTCCGTTGATTGGGCCAAACTCTATAGGTTCCATCAGAAGATGGAGATAGAATCCATATTCCAAATGGGTTTTAATTAAGAAAACAGGACGATGTGTAATGTTCAGAAACACAGTAACTATATAACAGTCGTTGATTTACTCACTGACTGCAGCGCACACAAAGTCTTAAAAAGTCTTCAGTAATCGTTGCTTGGTAATGGCTTCTAACAGTGGAGATTGGCGTAGTTCTGTGCCCACATCCTTGCTGGCTGGTGACTGATTAGCAGCTTAGTAATTTCAGACTGCTAAATTGCTGCTGGCCCTCACCAGCATGGTTATTCTTGGTTCAGAGTCATGTGAGACTCATGACCATACGAGGGGGGACCCAAAAATAACCAGAAACGACCTGTTGCGCGCGCATGCTTTGTAGTTACGAGTTGTGCTGCTAGGTGGTGTTAGCTGGGGGTCTCCCGTGACTGTTAGTGAGCTGGCGTCAGTCTGAGTTAAGTGGTTTGTCTGTGGTGCTCTGTTGTGTGCGTTCCTGTTTCAACCCTTTGGCGATTAGTGAGATGGCCGACCAGAAGGAACAAAGGGTGTGCGTGAAATTGATGAAGATCGTCGAAAGACCATTGACCAACTTTCTGAGGAAACGAACATCTCATGGAGCATGGTCCAGCGAATTTTAACCGAAGGTTTGCACATGAGACGGGTGTCTGCAAAATTTGTTCCTCGCTTGCTCGGAGATGACCAAAGAGAAAACCACGTGAATGTTTGCCGCAACTTGAAGAGTGAAGTGCAGTTTTCCCTAACAGAAAGCAAAATTTCATGCACACTCTTTGTTCCTTCTGGTCGGCCATCTCACTAATCGCCAAAGGGTTGAAACAGGAACGCACACAACAGAGCACCACAGACAAACCACTTAACTCAGACTGACGCCAGCTCACTAACAGTCGCGGGAGAGCCCCAGCTAACACCACCTAGCAGCACAACTCGTAACTACAAAGCATGCGCGTGCAACAGGTCGTTTCCGGTTATGTTTGGGTCCCCCTTCATATTTTATTGCCTGATTAACTGCTGGTCTCACCAGCACAATTTCTTGGTTGTGAGTGTCACAAAACTTAATGGATCTGTTTGGCTCTCTTGTGACTTGGTTGGGCGGTTAAATTGATGCTGGCCTTGTCAGCAATCTTTGCTTCATTTCGCAATGAAATCTGTGACTGAGACTTCTGTTATCTCCTAGACATGTATGTGTTTTAGAAATGGTGCCATCTTTTCAGTGAGGGTAGAGGGTCAGTGTTTCTATGTAGACACTATGTTTGTTGCACTGTAGTTTAAGCATGAGTATATCCGCCCTGTCACAGCGTCCAGGTCACTGTGGACTCTGCGCCCTTTTTCACTACTTTCTGCTAAGTAAGATTTGTGACAGTCATACAGACGATTTCTGTCAATGCAGGCTTGTGCAGCAAATTATGCCTTAACTTCTCCAAATCTGCAGTTAGCTGATTAGTCGTAGGCCTGATCACTGCCAAGTTTAAGACTCTTGTACATCCTGTCCATGGCATTTCCATGTCCAGTTCGACATACATTTGGATATTCATGTTTCCAGATGTACATGGAATTGGACATGGAGAAGTCATGCATATGCTGGCCAGACTGCAGCAGGTGCACACCAATCTGAGTATTGGAGACTTGGCTTTCAAAATGCCTCACTTATATGACTACATAAGTGAACTATGCAGGGCACAGGCAGAAGCAATCATAAACCATGGAAATGCAATTGACAGTGATTGGGCATACTGGCAGAGTTGTACATTATGTTACAGTCTGTTAGTGTATGTGACAATGTTCATGTTGTAATACTTTGGTGTATATGTATTGATTGACATGATTTTAACGTACTTCTTGCTTTTTAACTAGTTGGCCGCTTCAGAGGATTTCTTTCTGTTTATGAAATGGCATATGGTAGTACTTATCTTTTATTTAACAATGCTGTTAGTGGTTTAAGCTGTATGATGTCTAGTGGTGAGTTGAGTAGTGAATAATGGATTTGAGAGGATGTTTGAGGATGTGGTCATCCCCTCATTTGAGGTACTGTTTGGGTATTACTTGCATGGACAGACATGAATACCACTAGTACCCTTCCAGGATAGTTAGGCTGGTGCCAAGACTGCAAGTAAGAAGCATTGACCTTGTGAAACTTGCCTTGATAGAAACTGTACTGTATTTTCCATTGTTCATCAGCTAGTATCCCATTCACATTAAAATCTCTTTTTATTGATCAGTTGGTCTTACTGATTTTTGTGCCTGAGTAGTTTGCAAGTTGTATATGGAATGCAAGTGGTCTACCATTGTTTCACTGTGTCCATGATTTTTTTCTTTTTGTATGGGTTTAAGTACAGATTGTTGGTAACAGCGAGAGAGATGTTTTAATTTAGGGTGTGCTGCTGTTGTTAAACTTAAGAACTGAGTTATTTTCCTTTGAAAAGAACAGTACTGTCAGATAGCTCATTTTCGTAGTGGTGATTTATTTTGGCATTGTCTTGGCAGGCCTAACCCTGTGTGTAGCAGTGTCTTTGAGATGATGCTGGGGTGAGAACTGTCTAGGGATGTTTGGCTTTCACTGAAACATGCATTGCAATATGAAAGCTGGACCACAAACAGAGGATTCATTTTACATCTCTCTTCTTTGCAGATCTGCAGACAGTGCTTATAATGAATCTATTGGAAAGTTGAAAAGCAGATCAACCAAGGAAGAGAGTTCAAACAAGTGTGAATTCTGTGGAAAATCGTTTGTAAAGAGTAAGCTACTGATTCACAGAAGGATCCATACAGGGGAAAGGCCATTTGCTTGTACTGAGTGCGGCGAGGCATTTATCTCAAAAGGTGCTATGACAGTTCATATGGTCATACATAGTGATGAGCGGCCATATTCCTGTGAATTGTGTAGTAGTAGGTTTAAACGGTCATTTGAGTTGAAAAATCATAGGAAAATTCACACAGGGGAAAAGAGCCATGTGTGTGACATCTGTGGTTACTCATGCATCCAGAAGACTAACTTGGTGAATCATAGAAAAAGACATCTGAATGATTACAAGTTTAGGTGTGTTGTTTGCATGAAAGGATTTTACACAAACAGTGAAGTCCAGGAGCATATGATGGGACACACTGGTGAGAAACCATTTCAGTGTGATGTGTGTGGTTTGGTGTACCGTTACCGGTATCAGCTGGTCCAGCATTATAAGTTACATGACCCAAAGTATGTACCTCCTCCTAAGTTACATCAGTGTGACATCTGTAGCAAGTGTTATTCCCACAAGAAAGTGTTACTGGTGCACATGAAATCCCATACAGGGGAGAGCCAATGTGTCTGCGACATTTGTGGCAAAGTTCTGTCAAGCAAAGATTATCTGAAAGTACATGTTCGTACCCACACTGGTGAGAAGCCCAATGTGTGTCATGTGTGCGGGAAGGCATTCAGCTCAAAGCGATATTTGAAGATCCATCAGCGTACCCATACAGGGGAACGGCCGTTTACATGCGACTGTTGTAAGAAGTCTTTCACACAGCGTTCCTCCCTGATTGTTCACAAAAGGTCTCATACTGATTATAGACCCTATCTGTGCCTAGTCTGCAACAAGAGCTTTGTTGCCAGAACACTGCTTATTACACATCAGAAGACCCATGAAGGGTTTTGATATTTTTTTACATGTTTTTAACTTTCTGTGGCTAGTGCATCTTTTGGCAATATTTGAATATTGGGAATGAGCTTGGCACATGTTTTATGCTATTGTTGGTATGTGGTTTTGGTTGGAGGCAGCTTATTTTTACTTACAGTGAAAAATATTTTTTAACACTGTTTGGTGTGAGAAGTAAATAATATTCCAGCAGTGAGTTTCAAGAGGAACAGTGTGAATGAAGTCTGTAGTTGGAGATGGAGAGGTAGTTGTATGGAAAGCAAGGTGGACTTGTCATGTAGTGTCATCTATCTGTATAGAAGTTGAAACTAGATGCTGTACTGGGCAGTCCAGAAATTTTGATTTGGACAGTTGCTGTAAATTGTCCTTGGATAGGAATCATAAGCTCACTTGAAATGGGGTGGTAGATGTAAAAAGTTGGAAGAATTCATGTTGCCATCTCTCTTCTTTCCAGATCTGGAGACAAAGCCTCTAGAGGTACAAAAAGCAGCTCCAAAAAGGAAAAGGTTTCAAACAAATGTGAATTCTGCGGAAAAGTTCTCATCAAAAGTAAAATGCTAATTCACCGGAGGATTCATACTGGGGAACGGCCATTTGTGTGCACTATTTGTGGAGAGGCATTTGTGTCCAAAGGAGCATTAACAGTTCACATGGTGATTCATAGTGAAGAACGTCCCTTTCCTTGTGACATTTGTGATCGCACTTTCAAGCGAGCATTTGAGTTAAAAAGCCATAAAAAAATCCATACTGGGGAAAAGAACCATGTATGTGATATTTGTGGTTATTCATGTATACAGAGAGCAAATCTGGTGAATCACAGGAAGCGGCATCTCAGTGAGTACAAGTACAAATGTGAAGTCTGCAACACTGGATTCTACACAAAGACAACATTTCAAGAGCACAAAACAATCCACACAGGTGAAAAACCTTACCAGTGTGACATTTGTGGTCTGGCATATCGGTACAGATACAGGCTAACACTGCATAAGAAGACACATGAACCTAATTTTACACCCCCAGAAAAGAAACACCAATGTGACATCTGTAAGAAGCGGTTTGCACGCAAGCAGGTTATGTTACTTCATCTGAAATCCCACACAGGGGAAAGCCAGTTTGTGTGTGATATATGTGGTAAAAATGTTGCCAGCAAGGCATCACTGATGGTGCATGTGAGGACTCACACTGGTGAGAAACCAAATGTATGTGATGTGTGTGGTAAGGCATTCATATCTCGCAACTATTTGCGTGTTCACCAGCGGACTCATACGGGAGAAAAACCACATTCATGCGATGAGTGTGGTAAATCCTTCACACAGCGCTCAACTCTTGTAGTGCACAAGAGGTCACATACAGGACAAAGACCATACATGTGTCATGTATGCCAAAAAGGCTTTGTTTCAAGGACTCTTCTTATGACCCACCAGAAGAGTCATGAGCACATGTTCTAAACAAGAATAATAACTTTGTTTTATAATGTTGCATCTGGTTTTTGAGGCCCTATCTAGTCAGTAGTATTACACTATTGCACACACTTTAGTTTCTTAATCACAGTCAGTATAACAGAGTGATTGAAAAAATATATGTGATGTATTTGTTGTAATTGTGGTTATTTATGGGAAGGATGTATCTCGGTATGATAGTAGCTGCTAGTGAAGAAATTTTATTTGTTCGGAACACTTACTGTCAAGAAATGTCCATATTGTTACTGGCAATGAATGGGTTGGTGGGACAGGTGGAATGTGTTCCTCCTTCGTGTGGGTAACTAGAGTTGTTCTACTCCAGTCAGCAGAGAAATGTCTGACACACAGGAAAAATGTTCTGTGCCAGATATGTGGATAGTTTTGCATAAAAATGCATTGCAGTCTGCTACTCATATAAAATGTAACTTTCTTTTGCTGCTATTGCTAAATTCATTCAAGAGTTTCCAAGAGCCCTTTGCAGACAGGTTTGGTTGCAGGTGTTTCAAAGCACATATTTAAGCTCTTAGCTATGCTGAATTGTTCTATATTGTGGAGAGCATAGCTACCAAGCTCTGGGCCTCCTTAGTTATTGACAGTTTCCCTCATCATTGAATACTTCATGACTGGTTGCATGCACAGTAAAGGTGGAACTTTTAACATTTTAGGATGTAAATAATCTCATGCCCAAAAAATTGGAAAGTGATTAGCATTTATGGACCCACTTCAGTTTATGCACCCATTGGAATCAAAACAAGTCTTCACATTACCACTTTGAATGCGAATTTTGTTTTTATCCGAAGTATGTATTAGGGGCTTCACACACGTTTCCATTGTTCACATATCCAGTACTGAAAGAAAACAAATTGCAAGTTTTAGGGTCTTTTGAATAGGCATTTTTCAGGAATGTGACAAAATCTGATGGCAGACACTGGTTAGAAGATCCACTTTGTGATATAGTTTGGCTGGTGGTGATAATCTGCCAGAAATTGAATTTGCCATTTGTTTTCTGAAGTAATTTTTATGAAAAAATATTTATATGATGAGTTGAATGTCTGTAGTTTGTATTCTTTCAGTATTAGGTGTTATGGTAACATTTTACATTGTGATCATATTGTATCTGAGCTGCTTGTGCTAGATGCAGATAATTTACATGTCCGAGCAAAGCCAACTGAGGTGTTTGATCAGATATAGACGAGGAATGTGAACCCTGTACTTTGTACATGGATTAGCATGAAGCTGAATGTAGGTATTCACAAAAGAAAAGGAGAAAGGCCATGCTGCTATGTGTAGGAGAATCCATTGTGACAGGTTTGAATACAGAACTGTGTGCTGTGACTGGCTGGCTGTTTGACTGGTGCAAAAATATATCATTGAGCTGATCCAGATAATACCACAATTACCATTTGTGTGTGCATTAAAGCTGATATCGAGAAATGAGTGGCATCATTCAGTTTCATAATTTTGAAATTTCATTCACATTTTGTTTTTGGAACTTCCTCCTTGAATTATCAGTTGATTTTGCAGATTTTTATTGTTTATGGTCCCTGGGAAAATTCTGAAATTTTTTTTTTTTGCATTGGCAAAGTACTTACACATTTGCATTATTGCGTCTGAAGATGGAGTGTAGGTCGCTTTGGGCAAGGCCTTCCTGTTGGCTGTTATGTAGGAAGATGGGTGGGACTCAGAGCTTTTGGAGATGTTGCAGAGAGTAATGTTTTGCCCCTGAAAAGAATCATTCCTTGATTCCCTGCTTGTCCAGTCTTATGTAGACTTGCCACTTTACTGACTGAACTGTCTCTGTTCTTCAATATAATTTTCATTGATTATGCATATTTTGTGATCAAGTGTTTGTTAGTGTTTTATATTTACATTGTTGCATCAGCAGATACTGTGGAGATGTGTCTGCCCATAGTGAGCATTATATTTTTACTTGTATTTTATTTTACAGTTGTGAATATATAGACTAAAATCATTGAGAGGCAGGATGGTTGATGAATGGGGAAGGATGTGATTGTGGCCAAATCAAGGCATATGGCATTTGTCTTTAGAGACCGAAGAAAACAGTGAATGTCCTCTGTTAGTACAGACAATGTCCGGGTTAAGATATGAGTTGATGGTGACCTGAGTACCATTATGTGCATTATGTATGAGTATGTCACTGTGTTAGTTCTAGTAGGTGGTTATGGAAAGGCACTTCACTTAAATTCAGATAGAGCTGTTCATCCTCAGCAAGTTTCAATACAGGTATCTGTCATTATATGAACACTATGAATTTTCACTACAATGAAGCTTGTTAATTTCTACCCATTTTTCACTTAACGAAGTCCGTTTTCCACTTCAGTGAACAACATTTGTAACTTTGGTGACTTCTGCATTTGAAAACTGGTAAATCCATCCCTGTAACAGGCTGTGGAGGCCCATAGGTTGTGAGTTGCCAGGGCGCCAACATTTTCTAGGCAGTAGGCCCACAGACTCTGGTGAGGTTGGCAGCCTTACATGTTGGCCGCCCTTTACCACTTGGAAGATTCCTGGTGCTCATATCTATTAGAGGCTGAGTCAACCACAGGGCCATAGTGAAGCTGGAAGGATTAGGTGAATTAAAAAAATCCAGTTACCTCATTGTGAATCAAACCCATGATCATCTAGTTTGTAGCATAATGCCTTAACCAACTATGCTACTGTGTGCCCCTCTTTTGCATATAAAGTAATGGGATATGTTTTGTATTGTGAGGACACCAGATCTTTGTGAGAATGGTGCAGTGCTTGGAACATGCACATTAATTAACATGGGAAGGTCCTGGGAGATACAGTTTATCTTTTGGTGCCATGATATTTATTCTAAGAGGCAGTTTTAGGTGCAAAATTGGCTCCCATGAACAAACGTTATCCATGTTGTATTTGGTGGTATTTTGTCAGAGGCAACTATGAAGAGGGTGTTATTTTGTGTTATGACATTCTGTAGTTTTGGGATAGCTTTCCTGTCTTCCTCTGCTGCTTTCTTCTTTGGCACAGTCTGCAACCCTGAAGATGGAGGCAGTAAGTTCCTTTGAAATGTTGCCCGTTTTCTGATGTGCGCTGTGTTTCAGTGTAGATGGCAGCACTTTTCAAATTTCATCTAACTTACGAGTGGTTGGATCTGTGTATTGAGTTATTCTGTATCTTTGGTAGTGTTGGTTAAACATAGGCAAGAGTACTGAATGGTTATGCAGTCTTACTATGGTTAGCATCAGTGCTGTACACATAAGAGAGTTGTGATTTGTGTCCATAGGGTAATTTTACTGTATTAAAAAAGGTTATCAAATCCATCGAGTGTGAGTAATAAATATTTTTTCCCACTATTTAATCTTTTATCCTTGACGTGTTTCGGTCTGAGAGACCATCTTCAGGAGGACATATCCATACAAGCGGAAACTGCTGTTACAGTATGATTGGTCAATATCAATACATACATAATATCATTACAGTGTCATGAATATAAAATCTGAGCCTTTAACAACTGCAGTGATGTGCATGAATATATTAAAATATTTATAAATTAATATAACTAGTTTATTTACAAGTGTGTTTTAAAAAATCTTTAACATTTAGAATGAATTTGGTCCATGTCCTGTATACTGCCTCTCTTCAAAAGAAGTTGAGTGTCTACCACATCGTGGTTCCATTGTCTGATGAATAGGACTCTTTAGTGTCGTCCTGTTTGGCCGCGCTGTGTTGTATGTGTAAAATTATGGTCTCTCAGACAGAAACGTGTCAGGGATGAAAGGTTAAAAAACATTTATCAATCACACTGGATGGAGTCGATAACATTTTATAATATTGCTAGTGTGACGGACCAGGACGAACCAAATCAAAGATAATTTTACTCTTTCTGTCATTGTTGTATACATTTACCAGTAATGAAATAGTAATGTAAGTTTGCATGAATGTGTCAAAGAGTATTTATTGCATTACTGGTGTAGGTTGTGAAGTACATAGAATAGCCATGAACAACATGCAGTATCTGCTTTATTCTCAGGGATGTGAAACAGAATGTATTAAGATTTCAATAAATGCATTAATAAAAGTTGTAATTTACATATCTCAACTTAGTACTGTATTGAGATTCCATTCCCTATGCAGTGGAAGGCTGTGACACTTTGCAAGAACTCCATGGTCTGAGTTTGTGTAGAGTGGAAGCAGAGGGTCATGTGTTTGAAGCTTCGACCTTTTTTTTTTTTTTTCCTTCATTGAATGCCTGCCTCATTACAGCGTGGTTGCATTTCATGCGAGAATGTGGACAGTTGAAGACTTTGTGTAATTCAAGACAACAATGTGGTCCACATGATACTAATAATGAATGGTGGTATATTTGTTTACCATCTAAAGTGGAATAGCCATGTTTTAAAAGCATAAACGTTTTAGCCTCGCTAGTTTTGAAATGTTTGATTCTTGTACATCACACTACTTCAAACTCACATAAAATGCGATTGCACTGTATGTTTTTGTTGAGTGCTTACCATCATTTTGCTTTGAAAAAGTAATATTTGAGCACCTTGTTATTAGTAGCTGTCACAAGGAAGGATTTGGGTTGAGAACGTAGAGGAGTCCTGTCTGCTGGGATGTAATGCCTTGTAGTCCAGGGAAAGTCAACTGTAGCTCTGCTTTCTTCATGCTGGTCTTACCCCATGACCTAGGAGATGGAGCCTTAATGTTCCTTCAGAATTTAGATCGAGTCACTAGACTCAGCATTTTATCCCAGGTTACCATGGCAGACTAGGTACAAAGCAACGCACATTCCTTCAGAAGATAGAATTCTTCATAGTCACTGCTGTGAGAACCTCATATCCAACATAAATTCATACAGTGTCTTGATTGGAAGCTCTGAGTAGTGAGATTTTAGGTCTTCATGGTGGCTACTATGAATATTGCTGTCTCGTAGGATGAGATGCTGTGTATAGTATGATGAAAGTTGAATATTTTGGAGGAACCTACTGACCCTATTCAATATTGAAGAATTAAAGTAAACTACCAGCCAGCATGCTGCTCACCTGGCTCTGTGATCAGAGATTGAGACAGTAAACTTTACTTGTAAACTTTAGTCATACTATATGGCATCATATCCCACAAGATGGTACTTGAGAAAGGAATGGTTTTGTTTGTGTCTTGAATGGGATGAGTGGAAACTTAACAGAGGTGGAAGTTAGTAATAGTTTGTATTTGTGAATTTGATATAATTGGCTTGTAAAAGGACACCCTCCTGTTCTTCTGTAAACAAAATGATAATCTTTTTAGTTACTGTAACAGATTCTCTTACTCAGCAAAATAATTATTAAACTGTGAACGAAGATAGTACCACATGATTGGTTATATATCACTCAGAACCTACACAAATGTTGTTTAATACAAATACCCTCTGCATTGAAGTAAGTTCCTCATACATATTGCTTTGGGGGCAGGCGGTAGCATATTTGGTTGAGGCACTATGCTACAAGCCTGAAGGTTGAGGCTTAGATTCCTGATGAGGTCATTGTAGTTTTTTTTCTCCCCCACTTACTGAATCCTTTCAGCTTCACTATGGACCTAGGGTCGACTCAGCCTTTAATAGAAATGAGTACCAGGAATTTTCCTGGGGGGTTAAAGGGCAGGTGGCGAATAAGGCCGCCATCTGTGAGCCAATTGTATAGAAAATTATGGGAGCCTCATTGTCTCACAACCGTGTTGGCCTCCATGACATGTTAAGAGATAGCTTTACCTTTATTTTATACTCATTGCTTTTGTCCAAGATGGGATGTTCTCCTGGGGGCATGCAGTAGCATGGTTGAGGCACTACTCTACAAGCGCGGGTTCAAGTCCCGATGAGGTCATTGGATTTTTTTCAATTGACCTAATCCTTCCAGCTGCACTGTGGTCCTGGGGTTGACTGAGCCTCCAACAAAAATGAATTAATTAAATAATTTTCCTCGGAAGTGAAGCGTGGCGGGTGCGTAAGGCTGACAACCTTACCTCCATCTTTGAGCCAATTGTCTAGATAATGTGGGACCCTCAACATCTCACAACCCTATGGACCTTCATGGCCTGTTACAGGGATAGCTTTACTTTTACTTTTAGTAAGTTGTCCTAGATTCAATTTTGTTTACATTTTGAAAGTGTGTGACCCATGTGGGATGAGAGAAATTAACAGTGGTGAGGATTTAGGTTTTGGTCATGTTTTCAGGATTTGAGGTTCTCACATCTGTGGTTATAAAGAGCTGTATTTCCTGGCATATAACACCGTGTATTCTGTTCAGCAGACATTTCAGAGGAACATGCCATCTCTGTGTTGGTAAAAGGAGGAGGCAAACAGCCATTGTCTGCTTGTCACTTGCTTTCATGTCATTTTCTTGCTTGGCTTATTCTTTGACTTTGAAGATGGAGTGGACATTTTCCTGCCAAACTTCAGTTGACTTTCAACAGACTACAAAGCATTTTATTCTAGAAGATAGAACTATTTACCAACATAACTTATTAGGACTTTTTTATAAATTTGGGAAACAAAATAACCATTAGATTCAAACATTAAATGCAGTTGGAACACATACACAAATGTGCTTGGACATATGTTCATGCATGCGCACTCTAATTCACTCACAGATGGACCCACATGTTACTTAACACTCATTTACAGACTGGGATCAGATTTCTTAGAGTGGTATTTTGGTCCTTGGTGTCATAAATGCGCATTCCATTTGTAGCCTTTTGATGTGTGTTAATCATGACTTCACATTGACTATAGAAATTCATTTTTTGAAGTAGTAAAATGGAAGTAATGGAAACTGAGGGTACTGGTCAATTTCTGACAGAATTGCTCCAGTGGGAAGTAATGCACTGCTTGGATTAAAAAAGAATTGTATGAGTAATGGAAAGGGAATCTGTTGTTGAACCTGGAAGGGTGTTATAACGAGTAGTAGTTGTTTAGGAATTTAATTTTTTTTATTAGACACACACTTTCAAACAATCTTTCCCAGAGTTAACCAAGTATATATGTGCAGTGAGGGCCATGTCATAGCTCAAGCAGTCACTGGCTTTCCACTGCAGCGGCCCGGGTTCGATCCCAGGTCTGGTCAAGTGAGATTTGTGGTGGACAAAGTGGCGCTGGGGCAGGTTTTCTCTGAGTACTTCGGTTACCCTTGCCAATCTTCATTCCACCAATTGCTCCACAATCACCCTCACCTATCATCTTTGGCTGGTACAATAGGCCAGAAGTGGCCGCAGTACAGGGGACTTAGTCCCACCCCACTAACAATAAAAAAATATATATATGTGCTGTTATTAAGAATCATTCATATGGATGTTGATGTAATACATCACCTACCAGGCATATATTCAGCATCATACATTAATGGGCTTGAACCCTGGCAACTAGTTAAATGTACAAGATGCTTTGCTGTTATTTTAATCTTTGCTTCACAATATGGTGTTGTAGATGTTTATGGAAACCATGAA